TAATGTATTTGTACATTATCATCATCAACAGCATATAAATACATACATAATTAGTATTTTTTCGAACCAAATTCTGATCGAAACCACTTACACGCGAAAAGTGAAGAAACTAATGGTTTTTGCTAGAATTATGCCGGAATTCTGGATTATCAGCTGATAATAATTTTGGAAGGTCAGTCAGTGTAAAACAATTAAGTGGCAGGTAAAGGTGAGGGACATAGCAAAACATATTACTTTTGAGTATTATTTTACAACACTTGTAACAAAACATGGATGAAATGATGAAGGTTTTGAAACAAATCCAGGATGATCTGGTCGCTCAAAAGCGAGAAATGTAAATATGCAGGAATGTAATATTAAAGGTAATATTAACGAAAAAAATGTATCATCGAAAACAGAACTAGTAATTTGGAAAATAAATAAATCAAAAACAAGAAACAATAGATAAATTAGAAAGGTCCATCAAAAAGAAAAATCTAATATTCTTTAGATTGAGCATGGATATGTAGGCTTCCAAGAATGATTACTGTCATCTATGAACTACGAATAAAATAATTTATGGACATCAATAAAAGGACTAGGGTGACTTGAAGGGTTCAACTATAAATATCAAAGAAGAAGAAGCCGAGACGTAAAAGCTCCAAGAAGAAGTAAAAAAAAGCACGCGCTGGGATAAGATGCCGTTTTACGCTACGATGAAATTATCTTACTAAAAGGAGGCCCGAACAATTCAAAAACTGGCACACGTAAACAAACACGATATCTAGGCTAACGCTAGGAGAATAACAATTCTTGAGACTTCGCGTTAGTTTATAAACTATTTATAATACATATATATTAATTATTAATTTATATATACATATATATATATTTAAATTAATAATTAATATATATGTATTATTTTTATTAAAAAGATCGAAGCAAGTAAGATCACTCGAATAAGTAAGGTAATAAATAAAAGTTTACGGTAGCACGACAAACTTCACGGGCAATGGATGTTTTATGCGTCAGAATAAGCTCTGTCTATCGAACCTCAACCTATGCAATGTACAGATCATAAATCAACCTTAAATACAAGTGTATTAGGCCCATCATAAATTCACATAACAAATCAATAAAGCACCGGGTGAAGAATCAAGAATTACGAACGCATTGCAAGAACTCTATCAGAACAGTTAAAACTGTTATTTGACAATATATTGATGACCGGAATTACTCCGAAGCAGTGGTCTGACTCTACCATAGTACTATTGTAGAAAAAGGTGTACCTAATAACTACCGACCTATCAGTCTGATGTCGAACATATATTAACTATTTTCAAAATTAATTCCTAACAGAATAACAAAAATATTTGATGAAAACCAGCCAAATGAGCACGCAACCTTTCGAAAGAGCTACTCGACTTTGCATCATATTCATGCAGTGACACAGGCTATCGAAAAGGTCAAAGAATATCACAAAACACTATGTGTCTCGTAGACTATAAAAAAGCGTTTGTAAAACGATATAATTTAGGAAACACTTCGTGACCAAAGCTCTCAATATATTACTGCGTTATATAAAGAAAGCTGCGCAAAAAATTAGACAAGAAAAAGAGGGTAAAAAATTATCTATAAGGAAAGGCGATCCGTTATCACTGAAATATTTACAGTCGTTGTAGAGAAAATCTTTAGAAAACTGGATTGGTCTCAAAAGCGACTGCGAATAAATGGAGAATACCTAAGCCATCGCCGTTTTGCAGATGACATAGTTGTTTCTGCTGAAAACCTCGCAGATTTGTTTAGCTAAGTGATCGTCCGTGTGGTGACGAATTAAGAATACGGAATGTCACCACCCCTATTCATCCCGTGGGTGTCGTAAGAGCCGACTAAGGGAGCAAACTACGCAGAACAACAGCACTGCAAAGAGAAGAAAAACTTGAAACAAACCCTATACCAACCCGTCTGGCCAGCGTGGTATAGTAGGCCAAAACCTCCTTTCTAAGGAGAGGCCTATGTCCAGCAGTGGACTGTTATAGGCTTATGATGATGATGATGATGATGATGATGAAGTGATCTAACACAGGAAAGTAAAAAAGTACTTATCTATGAACTTCACAAAAACCAAAATAATCACTAATAGTGAAGTAAAAAAATCAGTCAAAAAAAAATTAAAAAATTATCAAAGTTACAGATGTTACAGCAAGAATAAGATTACTAAAATGGAACTGGGTGAGGCATATACATATGTCGGATGATGGACGAAAAATATAGTAAGATGGAAATGGAGTGGATCCCTAGAGACGACAAAAGATCACGAGGGTATCAAAGAAAACGTTGGGTAGATGTAGTCCTGGAAAGACAATTACCTACTCGGATGACCAAGGCCAGAGACAGAATACTGGAAGGAAAAGGGGGAGGCCTTTCTTTTTTTTTTTACGTGTTGAAATTCCCCCTGACCGTCACCCCGCCGGGGCTCTCGTTCGGCGGGGCGGTGTGTCGGACTCGAACCGACTAAAACCACACGGTGTGCCCTCTTTGCGCTTCCAGTTTAGGAGGGGTCCAGGTAGTTATCGCCTTCTGGACCCCTCCCAGCGCCGGCCCGCTCCTGTTGCGGGCTCCGTCTCAAAATGTTTCCTCTCTTTAGGCGACGTCCGGCACACGCGGACGCCGCCCCCTCGCGGCTGGCCAAACTGATGCGGGTGGAGGGGAGAATCCATCCCGTCCACCCGCGGCCACACTCAGGGCGGCATCAGGCGCAGGTAAGCGCGCCTCCGCCGCCTGGTTCGCCGGCGGCGGATCGGGTCCGTGTGGAGGTCGTCCTCCCGGGCCTTCTCCGCCGCCTCCTTCTGCGAGATTACCTCGTGGGAACACTGGCCCCGCCCAAATTGGGCAAAAGTCGCCCTAGGGCGGAGGCAGTGTCCACCAGCTTCGGACCAAGCTGTCGGAAGTGCTCGTCGAAGAGCCACCTACCGTCTAGGACCAGACCCAGGTACCTCATCTGGGCCCGGACCGGTACGAGGACCGAGCCGACCTCGATTGAGGCGCCGGCGGGTGGACCACGACGGGGCCCATGAAATAATAGGGCCTCCGTCTTATCCAGGGCCACCCGTAATCCCAACGCCTCAATGCGCCCGACCACCTGGGAAACTCTTGTGGCGGCCAGGCGCGCCGCCTCCTGGAAGTTAGCCCCCCGGGCCGTGAGTAAGGTGACATCCGCGTAGCAGATTACACCCAGCCCGGGGGGGAGACGCCCTCGTAGGGCCCAGTCGTACCCGATGTTCCACAGGAGAGGTCCTAGGACAGACCCCTGCGGAACACCGCACGACATGGCCCCGCGTCTCAAGACGCCATCTCGGTCCTCGTACATGACGGTTCGCTCCTCAAGATAGTCTGCCACCAGCCGCCGCAGGTACTCCGGCACTCCGTGGTAGCGGAGCGATTCCCTGATGCAGCTGAATGGCAGACTATTGAAGGCATTGGCGATGTCCAAGGACACCGCCAACACCACTCCGCCGCAGCTCACGGCCTCCTCGGTCACAGCCCTAAGGCGCATTACGGCGTCGATCGTCGAACGCCCCTCTCGGAAACCAAATTGGGCGTCCGACAGATCGGGGCCAACCTCGCAAAGGTGCCGGACGATGCGGGCAGAGAGTGCCCTCTCAAAAAGTTTACCCGCCTCGTCCAGAAACACGATAGGCCTATAGGCCGCGACCGATTCGGCAGGCCGTCCCGGCTTCTGCAGCAGGACCAGCTTCCCGCATTTCCAGCGCTCAGACGCCAGGCTAGCGTCCAACACCCCCCTGAGGTGGTATGACATGTAGTCGAAGGCTCGGGCCATCACTCGGGCTGGAACCCCGTCCGGCCCACGCCAAGGAGGCGACTACTATTTAGTTAATATTTTAGAAATAAAAATTCGAAATAATAAAGACAAAATAATAATAAACACGCACGCACGCAACATGAAACTTAAAATAAATGTCCAAAATGATATGATACTAATATTACAAATTTAAAAAATGCAATACATAGAATTTTATATATGGCGATGATAGTAAGATATCAGTGATGTTATTTATTATTTAGCACAATTCATTTACTCGTATTATTATACAATTCATTACAATATGCATTCACAGTATTTTTAAAATTATTTAGTATTAGAATAAATAGCTTTTTTTTTTATTACCATCAACAATCTTTGATAGTCCACTGCTGGACATAGTCCTCCCCTTAGAAAGGTTTTGACCTACTATGCGAGGCTGGCCAGGCGGGTTGCTTCAAGTTTTCCTTCTCTTTGCAGTGCTGTTGTCCAGCGGTGGTTTCTTATAGACATCTCAACGCTTGGATGTATCGGCAGTCGTCGAGGCATTTTTCGACAAGAAGATTCGTAATAACCCTCAAAAACAACTTGATAGGGTGTCATTAAACGTTTTGACTTTAGTGAGAACGTCTTTTAGAAGTAACGGTGATGCCTTGTGCTGTTCTGAGTTTGGACAGGTGACAATAGGAGGCCTTACGCTTGTCAAACATATTCAGGTTGAGTGAAAGTTAAAAACAAAGATGAAATATTATTTAACATAAAAAATTAAATCGCCAAACATTTGTGTAGATTCAGATAAACTTATTAGTAGGCCGGGCCAGTGTGTAGTGCTTGTATAGGGCTACCCTACTTGTGATGGTAGACCAGATTGATCAATCATACTTCATTTACTATAAAACCACTTAAGTTACAATTCCAAAGCTGAATACCTACTTGATCATAATACATGTTTAGAACAACCAAAAGACAGTTGGCGTACTCTGTACGCTGTTCGTCTCTATGTTTATAACTGGTAACAAAACCTTTTAGAAGGTCGACACGGCATTGCTTTGTTTACATCGGTACCATGCGAAACATATTGTGGTGACTATATGAACTGACGCCAAATGGGGAAACCAAGTAAAAAGTAATGTTAATCGCATGATAAAAAAATAAAATAAAAAATGCTATTGATTTACGTTTTGTGTTTACCTTACAGACTGAAATCGGATCGAATTAATGCATTGCGGAAGCAATATGACTCCTTTCTTGCAGAAGACAAGAAACGAAAGGAACGTAATGAATATATTTTGGGAAAGCTCGACAGCATGGTATATGCTAATGCTTTAGTTCCAGCGCGAACGAAGGTAAGAATACCGCATATATAGTTGTAAAATAGCTATTTACAAACTTATCACACGGTCTGATCTTTAATCATTTCAGGCTAGCTCTATCGCAAGCAGGCCTTTAACGATGTATCACATACCATACCAAGCACAAGTTCCTGCTGCTCATACAGTTCAATCTACAGACGTAAAACATCAATTAAGACAAGATATTCCAATACAAAACATTGATGACACGTATTTAATTCAGGAAGTCAGTAAAAAGTATATACTTATTCCAAAACTGACAACACCGTTCTTAAATAGTTACTTACAGCACGCACAACCTATTTGCAATGATACTATTATTGAAGATGGGCAACAAACCATAAATATTTCAAAAACAAGTACCGCCCAACAACCCTACTCAAACGGTAACTCTGATTGGAAAAGTAAATATGAAATTTTAAATATACTGAAAAATGAAGAGAAAGAAAATAAATCCCTAAAGTTTGTCCCTGAAAAGCCACTGGAAACTCTTTTAAACAGTACTAGCGAAAAAGTTTTATCTGGTGGTGACAATATCGTGCCTCAGGATATAGATTGTAGTACAAATGCCAAGGAGGAGTTACCTGAAAAAGATAATCCAGACGAAATTTTCAATTATGAAGTTAGAAATGATCAAGACATCTCTAATGGTCTAACCATTAAACTAGACCCAATGGTACATGTTAATACGGACAATTTTGTTGACACAGTCGCTAATATTGGTAATAAATTACAAAAAACCATACTGGATGATAGTAAGCATATTGAACCCAATGTTATTAATCAATCAGCCGAAGAAACTATTTATGTAGAAAATAAAGATGACTATAATTACATCGAACCTACCGACCACACATTAGTAAGTGAGCAAATGCATTATGTAGAACATCTATCAGCAGCTGACCCAAATTTAGACCAAGTAGAATATAATTATACAGAAACTGGCCTACCAATACCATCAGGTGACCTAACACAGTATACAGAAACTTTAGAACCAGTTCATAATACAAATATAAAGCTTGAAGAAAATCTTGGTGAACCAAATTTCGAAACTTTGGAACAACAAAATAGATCAGGAAATATAAAAACAGAAGTATACCCTGAAGAACAGAACGCTGAATCTTCAGAAGTAATCAGTGCTAATAATTTAATGAAAGAAATGTATAATAATCCATGTAAAACAGATAATAGAGATAAGGATTTTGTTGATTACGAACCTGTTCTTGATAACTTTACTTCTAATAAAGATATTAAACTGAAAAGTTCTCACGATTCAGCCCGTGAACAAACGGGGACTGCCAATCCAGCCGATACAACAGTTGAGCAGCAGACTCCTTCAGGAACGGTACCCGAACTAGATGACCAAGAAGCAATCGATGTAGTGGGTATCCAAGATTTTAATGCTGAACAGAGAGAAATGTTTTACTCTGATCATCCAGTAGAAGGCTATGAATATCAGCAAGGTGATGCCAATACAAATTACCAAGAATATAATAAACTGGAAACATACCAAGAAAACGAAGATTATCCCCAAAATGAGAACTATCCACATAACACGAATTATTATAACGGGCCCGTACAGCAGGACGTGTATCCTGTCGACGTTGACGAAGATGAAGAACATTTAAAGTTAAGGTATGATCAAAGTTATCAACAACAATATTTAGATCCATATGAGAAGGCGTACAATAAAAATCAGCCAGAATATCAGGAATTTGAGACTGACTATCATCCCGTACCTACAGATCACATTGAAGCAATATATGATCAGAAATTTTGTGAAAATCCAGAACAAATTGAAGCCGCTATTAATAAAGAGGAAGGGATTAATGAACCGACACATGGAGCGGTATCCCAAGCAGAGGAAAACAAAACACCTGATACAAAATAAAATTCTATGATGGGTTTCCCAACAATGTGTTATGGGTCCCACACCTTCAGTTTTATCTGTGCGATAAAACTTTGTAGATAAATCGTAAGTCCCTACAGTCCACATACGTTAGTTTTTATCATTTTCGGTGCAGTTTAAACGGCACAGTGCGGTCGTAACCATTTCTCGTAGCGGGTGTGTCGTTCATTATGAAGCTGGAGTAATATCATGAATTTAGATAATTGGGTTAAAACAAACTAATTTATTTAAAAAATAGACTTAAAGGATGTTATTTTGAAAATTCGGGAATAAAATAATTTCCAGTGTCAAAATTGTCTTAGAAAATGTGAAAATCTTATCGATTTAATTTAATTTTTGATTGAATGAAGTCAATGATTTAATAATAAATAGTAAGGCGGGACTTAGTGCTTATTTATTTCATACAAAAATGTGTAAACTTCCGTTGTAACCTTTACTAAAATGATACTGATTAATCGTGACAGTTATCTATTTCCTATTGTAACAATTAATAATATAATCTGTCCATTCATTTCATTTATGGAGGGTAGAGGCAAGGAGAACCATCTTTGTATATGAAAAGTGTCCTTAAAATGGCGTCCAATAAGGGTGGCACTGAGGTAGCCTAGGATAAATCTAATTGGCCTAAATAATAAATTAGACACTGTGTACTAGACTGCAAAAATAGTCAATGAGTTAAACAGACAATAAATAAACGTGTTATAACTTTCAGTCAATAAAAGCATTATAATATTTTAACTCAGCACACGAAAAGTATGCTGAGTTAGAATATTATAATGCTTTTACAACAGCTATGTTTCATATGGCAGTTTTTCGTACGCCAGCGACCTCTATTTTCAGTATACAACTGGACACTTTCAATTTTTCCCCATTTGAGATGGTTTTCTTTGCCTCTAAACTCCATAATTTAATTGTAGACACTTCGATCGATAAGTACTGAATTAGGGGTGTCCTATCGCGTAGCCAATGCGACTTAAAAATTGCTATCACTTTTATTAATTTTTTAAATAACTTAAATTTTCTTCCGGAACATTAGAGAAGCGCCTGGTATAAAGGTTATGGCAAAGTCTTTTTATTAAGTTTACAATTATAATTTTGCATATTATATACATTTTTTTCTTGCGGTTAAAATTTACAAAGCTTAAGGTGGGCCCGCCCCAGAACAGCACACATAATTTATATATAAAGGTAAATACAAGATTGATAACAAAATACGAAAAAGCTTTTCATACTGATTTAGATATAGGTGATATGGATTTCTAAACGTGTAGTATAGATGCATTAGCTTTTTTCACTATGTACAGTAGAACGAACTCTTTTTATTTAATTAATCATAACATGTCTCCTTGAATTAAAATAGGTTACATATAACTCCGCGCTAAAACTAATAAAGTTTATTAATAATAACTCTGTCATAGATACATTCTCAATCAAAAAGAAAATAAATGAATGGACAGACTATAAAGTCACTTGTAAGGAATATTTGCCATTAATATTGATTTATTGTTAATAAATACCATGAATTGCTTTAGGAACAGCTTAATGTATTTAAATCTAAGATTAAGTGAAAAAAAAAAATTCTAGTATTTATTTAGAGCACCTTTTTGCGTCACTATTTAAATTTATTTAGTTAAATAAAACGATTGCATGGTATAGATTTTTTATTTAAACATACATTTTCAAAACTCAAGTCATCCTAAAACAAGTATACGTATAACTAGATCCATTTTGATTGTACTTATTGTGGAAGAGGCATACTTTCTAAAACTGCTGCTTGTTCTGGGATGAGAGCTTCTTTCGGTTTCTTCCAATGAAACTCTTCCCATGGAAGCCTGTCTAAACCTGTAGCCCAGTGATGAATTCTACATCTTACATTAACTTTTTCCTTTTTGTTAATCTGCAAAGATAATTGCCATATTATTTATAATATAAATATCTGCAGTACAAACTTGCAGGACGATTTGCAATACCTGTGTATTAATATAGCTATACCTAATAGCTGTAGTTCAGAATTAGGTTTGGCTCAAGAAGAAAAAAGTGGATAGTAAATAAAAAATGGATGAAGTAGTTGATTATATACGCCTGTTACGCAGTTTTGTATAGGTAAAAGGTTGCCTATGACAACTTAGTCGTGATTTGCTACGCATTTATTACTCTGAATGAATCACTATTCTATTCAGTATCATTAATGTGATTGTTATTATTATTATTTTATTTATTTAATACACTAGCAGCTTAAGGCTGATGCGTGTATATCATTACACTTGTGTATTTAAATGTTTATCGAGTCTATTTTAAAAAATATTAATACTCGGGGCACTTATCACAGTTTCCGGCAGAGTTTCACATATGCACCACTCGGTTAGGCAAAAAATGGTTTCTGGGATTACTAGTAGGTACACAGGTGCTTGCTAAGCTTCATAGAATTACCCCTTAGTTGCGTGTTCGGGTTCATTGTGAACATGGATTCAATATCTCTCACGTTGTAATGGTGGTTGAGTATTGTAGGTAATTGTGATTGTGATTGTTTCGTTGTTTTTGTGGCCATCTCAGTCTCCGTAATGCGACGCTAAATTAATATATAAAAGAAAACGAACTCACGTTTCCTTTTATATATTAACTTAGCGTCGCATCCTGTTTTCTAAAATATTTAAAATAATTAAACTGAATTTAATTAAGTAACAATAATAACAAAAAAAAATTACTAAAGATTTAGTACTCAATACTCAGTATTCTTACTTCAGTAATAAAATTTATCTAAGATTCGGTATAACCCAGATGGGCTTATCAAAAGTATACTTAGAGCTGCCACGCTTGACCCATATCTTTGGGTTTGGCAATTTGGTTTTGATGTCTTTCAATGGGACACTTGATATATCTTCAATCTCTGGATACATAAATGTAACAATAATAGATAAAAAATAATAACAATTGAAATGTGGCAATCTACCGGTATTTTGTATATTTGTGTGTAATAGATAAACTCAAAAACTATTAATTATTATTTTAAAAATTATTTCACTATAGTAGAATTATTTTCTCCGTGCAGTTTGGGTCATAAACCATAGCTCGGCCCCGGCCCGGCTAGGGCGGTGAGCATGTTGCGCGGGCGCAACGCCACTATCGATAAGAACAAATGAGTCATCAAAGGCAGGTACACGGCGGCGGAGCGGTATACAAAGGTGGTGAGACATTGTTATGTTATAAGTCATTTGTTGTTCCCCACTGCAAATTATAGTACATATGTCCAAGAGAAATGTGTTTTTGTGCATTCGCTCTCTGAATTTCTTTAGTGACACAATGGCTACTCCTTTGTTTTGTACCAAAACGGCAGAATTTATAAAAAATAATATTTTCATTTTAAATATAGGTATAAGTATTTATATTTATTCTTAACATAACTTTTTACATTCTTAACTATTGTACTTATAACAATAAATACCAATAATTTATTCTTTTATTACAATATTATATCTTATCTTTTATTATTATTTTAATAAATACGTTGTTTTATCTTATTTTTATTTTATTTTTTGTCACTAACCCACAAAATGACAAAACTAAATACACTATCGATAACGCTTATCGACAAGAATAATGCGCATCACTATGCCCACCCATAAGGCTCGTGAGTGGAAGAGAGAACGAAATACTCGCTTTACCGCTCCGACTATTTATGACCCAAACTGCACGGAGAAAATAATTCTACTATAGTAGTAAAGCAAAATATTAAAATTTTAATAACTATTGGAAACTATTGACGATACACTCAGAAATCTGTTGAAAAAAACCGTAATAACCTACGTAATAAATAAAGATTGTGTCACTTTCTTTTTGTTTTAGGTTTATAATATAAGTAGTATCCAAGCTATTCTGGTAGGTGTACGCTAGGCGAGCCGAACACGAGCAGAGCCGTTCTGATCGTCGTCGTTCGCAGCGTCGTGTTGACTTAAAACGAGCCTGCAACGATCACTTTCCTAGAACGTAGTTTTCCGTTCCGTTGGATTATTTTGATATAATTCAATTACTGGCAAACATTAATCTTTTGTTCACGTTTCCATGATCGAGTATCATGTAAAAGGTCTGTCAGTCAACACGTAGGTACACGAGCGTCTAGCGACCCACCTTTATGTAGATGAATTTTCATTTTAAATTTATATTTTGAATAGAATAACGCCATAAGAGTTGCAAGCATTGGAATAAAATTAACGAGTCGGTAGCACTGAATGTGTTAGCTATTTAACGTGTTATTATTTTTTATATTATAATGTGTTAGCCAAGAATATAAAAAAAAAAACATAAAATGACTGATCAATTTCTGGATAAAGGCCTTTTAGTAGAAGGCTAGTTAGTTAATAATAAAAAAATCGGAAGTAGTATCAAAGAGATGACAAATTTTTATTACCAATTTTTTTATTTTTTAGTACTGTAATCTGGTAGTGCGATGGGTCAGAAGGATGTATGAAAGTTCCTCGATTGCCCATGACATTACTGGTTAGTAGAGCAGAAGAGAAAAAATATTCCCCATGACTACTGGTAGTGTAATTTGGTAGTGTGGTGAGTCAGAAGGGATTTCGGCTCTCAAGTCATCCTTTAAGCTTGTATCTATCTAATAATCTTACCCATGACCCATAAAATAGAATATAATATCAAGAATAGCATTAAGCAAATGCAAGGGAAAGCTTAATTACAGATTATGATTTATAAAAATGTATGCTTACTGTAACAGTAACATAAAATTCCTTCTCTTGCAATGATAGATCTGGTCCTCTTATCTCAACAGGAGGCATTTCAATAGCATATTCAGGTACAATAAAACCCGATTTACGAAATGAAGTACTGATATGCCATGGTTCTAAAGTCCAAGGCTCTAGTTTATTCATGGTTATTTGTAGAAGCGTCCTTGACAAACAACCCATTGTCTGCAAAAAGAAAAAAATAATTTCTGTATTAAAAATAAGTTTTGTATAAAATAGTCTACTACTAGTTTATAAACACTTATGATGTTTGGGTAGTATATAATGATTTGGAAGTACATTTTGTACTACCCAAACTTGAAAGTGTCACGTCTCGTCACATCTCTCACGCAAAGTGCTAAAGGCAGTTTTGCATCAAATTTATAATAAAATATATATAACAATAAAAAAAAAAATTATTATTGTATTACATTTAAAAAAAAAACAATGGATCTTGTTAGTTGTTACATTAACTTACTCTCTGCACATATGGTGAGCTAAATTTCTCTTCAGTTTTTGGTTTACTCTCATCTACTTTGTACTTTTCAAGGTTTTTAGCACTTGCATAAACAGCCAACCCAGGCAAAAGGTATTCTCTGTAAGCTTTGTGTGGATGTAGGCTTAAACTATCGCCTTTATTGCCAACACCTGCAATTATTGTATAAAATGAAAGAAAAAACCTTGTATGACAATGTTTCCATGTTATGGGTATGAAGTGGTATCTCACAATCACTTTTTAAAGTAAAATATTTACGGATTTAGGTATTTAACATAGTCTTGCTTATGATATAAATAAGCAACAACAATGGTATCATGTCAAATTATCTAGTTCCCTTATAAAATCATTTTAGTAGAATTTAAATATTTGTTGTGAATGATGATTTGATCTGGACCTGGCACATACACAGAAATTCAAACATTAAATATTAATGTTGATACTTGTGTAGTAAAATCAATTGAATTACCTCTAAAATATATGTGTACTACTTCCCACACTGTTGTAACAAAAAGAAACTGAAGAAAACCAAACTAGAATCTACTATTGCTCTTGACTTTCCTCTTCGAAGTATGGATTTTTATTATCAGATTAAATCTTATAAAATGTAAACAGAAATTCTTAAAATCTTAAACTTGAAGCACAACGAACATGTCAGCGATACCAAAAGTGTTAATTCCTCTTTCAAAAATTATTGTTTAGGAATGTTTTTTTTTTCAATAAAGTTTGCAAATAAAAATATTTTGTCCATTTTGGAGTCACATGCATATTCCCTATTATCTTATCCAGAAACTTTGTCTTAGCATTGCTTAAATGAATTAAATGTTGATGTTGTTTTGCTAACTCACCATCTACAAATTGATTCAAAATTATTTTAATATCAGGTTGTTTACAAACATTAGTGTCTTGTACAAGATCATACACAAAATGTCTGGCTCTCATTTTAGCAGGTTTGCCACCCTTCTTGTGCAGAGGAGGGGGTGATTTGCGTTTTAAAATAAATGTAGTCTGTAAATAAAAAACTATGTTAGTACATTTGTACTCAAAATTTAGTCATGGGAAAAATATCAGAATCATCATGTTGTTAAACAAGAGCAAGTAAATGTAGTAAAGTTTTATAAAGAACTTAAACATGATGGCAAAAAAATTCCCCAATGTTATCCTTCAGGATTTTTTCTGGGATATGTCATTGTTTCTTTACACAACTTATTAAGTTTAAACAATTAATTAATTTAAATTATTACCCTCATTTGTTGATAGAATACATGCGGCCCAGGAGGTAAAGAGTTACAAATAAATGCTCGTAGTCCTAACATCTCGAAAATCTACTTGGAAGATCGAGAATTACAGAAATCCAACTTGAATGGTTTTTTTCTTTTTATGTGCAGATATTGTGCTTTACATTTGCTAATAGATTAGGAAACAACTTCCAGATATATTTTACTCAATTATCAAATGGAATAAAAATAAGACTGTTGTATTTACTTATTGTTCAATTATTTTAGGTTAGTGTAAGTTTTAATTCTATTCGACACTTTGACAATTGACAGATTTCATTCCCATCCAGGGGTTAGATAGTAGTGACTAGTGAGCCAAAGCTGGTACAGATGTCGCTACAAGGCTCTAAAAGATGGTATTTGAAAAAAAAAATGTTGATACACTTACAAAAACTTTTTATTAATAAAAATAATTTATAAATAATAATAAGAAATTGTTGATTTTGCATGTTCATTGGAATGAAATTTTGAATTATCGAAGAAATTCTTGATTTTTTTGATTTAAAAAAATCTCACCTGATAAAACATTATAAAAAATAGGTATTATGAATATTAAAACAATAATAATTATTGTTATTATTCGTTGACGTTTTTATTATTAGATCTTATAACTGTCTATATATATATCGGCGCAAAACAACATGCGATGAGCTACGTCATCGCTACACGTGTTTAGAACGGCGTAAACAAGTGACTCAACTGGTCGCCCCACCACATGTTAATAAAAAGCCGCCCGCTGCAGCGGAGCGGTCATTCGATTGTGAGCACTCAAGGAGTGAACAATTAATTTATTATAGGTGAATCGAGTGTTCACTATTTCACTTTAATTATAAATTGATTTTTGATTGAAGTGGAGTTTGTTATTTTAAAATTACCTCAGTAATGGAACACCATAGTAATAATAATGATAGTGACGTCGGCTGTGCCGATGTCACAATTTTTAAAAACAACGCTGGCTCAGCTGATCCGTTATCAGAAGTGGGATCTTCTGCCACTTCCGCTCAACAACCTGACGTTGCAAGGAATGTGCAACCGGGAATGCACACCTCGAGCAATAATGGAATACCGACGCAACAGGAACTATCACAGTTCAATTTGTTCAGCGCACAGGCAAACAATATGCCGCCCCAATTTATTTTGCAAATGATGCAAGTGATGCAGCAGATGTCGGAACGATTGAGTAACACCCAAGAAACGAAAACACGCATCAATGAGGTTTTTCTACCTTCGTTTGATCCTGATACAAACTTAGGAATACGTGAGTGGTGTCAACACATTGATAAAGCTATTGAAGCCTATAAATTCAATGATTTTGACATACGTATGAAGGTTGGCAGCCTGCTTAAAGGAAGAGCAAAATTGTGGGTTGATGACTGGATGGTAACAACAGCTTCATGGTCTGAGTTGCGCAACAATCTTATAACTACTTTCGAACCAGAAAGCCGTTATTCCAGAGACATTATTCGATTCAGAGAACATGTTTACAACTCTTCAAAGGACATTACTGAATATTTATCTCGAGCCTGGGTCCTTTGGAGGAGAATCACAAAAGACAAGTTGTCGAATGAAGATGCTGTGGAAGCAGTAATAGGATGCATAGACGATGAAAGGCTTCGGATTGAGCTATTAAACGCAAGAGCTAAAACTGTACCTGAACTAATATTAGTTGCATCATCAATAAGAACAACGAAACGTTCTCACTCGAATTCTAGCAATCAAAACCCAAATAAGAGACCACGTTTTTCAAATTCTAATCTTTCGGGTTTACCCTGTCAAATCTGTAAAAGGTCCAATCACAACACCAGTGATTGCTTCTAAAAACCTAATGGATCAAAATCTGAACACACGAACAAAACAAAAACAGAAATTAATAACAAAGAGGTAATGACTAACCAGAACAATAAAAAGGTTTGTTCATTTTGCCAAATACCTGGACATTCTTTTGAAACCTGTTTCAAGAGAGAACGTTCACTGTCATCATCAAATGTTAATTTCATTTCTGGATCAAAACTAGCTCCTATAAAGGTTACGGTTGGGCTGAAGACTTTTCAGGCGATTTTTGATAGTGGCGCTGAATGCTCACTCATACGAGAGTCCATAGCGGCTCAATTACCAGGGAAGAGGATTGAAACTACTAATTACCTGAAGGGTATTGGTCAATTTCCTGTACTTTCTATAGCTACACTAGTTACAATTGTGAACATTGATGAGATCAATGTTGAACTACAGTTTCACATAATAGCGGACTATGAGATGACTACAGATATACTAGTGGGAATGAATTTAATAAATAACACCAACCTTACGATGATAATAAATTCAGGCGGTACAACGTTAACACATCAAATGAATATCAATCATGTTCAAAACATGAACCCGATCTTCGATAAATTGGACTGTGATCTCACGAATGATGAAGATATCACAACGTTACGAACACTATTGAATAAGTATCAACACCTGTTTATCAGGGGATACCCAACAACTCGTGTCAAGACTGGAAAGTTGGAAATTCGTTTAAAAAATCCAGACAAGTACGTAGAACGAAGACCATATAGACTCAGTCCCATTGAACGAGAAAAAGTACGAGCCATAGTGAAAGAATTAATGCAGCATGGTATTATACGTGAGAGTAAGTCTCCATACTCCAGTCCTATTATCCTAGTGAAAAAGAAGAATGGTGATGACCGCATGTGCGTAGACTTTAGAGAACTCAACTCTAACACGTTACGTGACCATTACCCACTACCATTAATTTCGGATCAAATCGATCAACTGGCTAAAGGACATTTCTTTACGACTTTGGACATGGCAGCGGGCTTCCATCAGATACCTATCGCAGATTCATCAATTGAAAAAACTGCTTTTGTCACACCGGATGGATTGTACGAGTATTTGACAATGCCATTTGGATTAAGCAATGCGTGTTCTGTGTATCAACGATGCATTAATAGAGCTTTGAAGTCGTTGTTGGGTAATGCAGCTCAAGTTTATGTGGATGATGTCCTAAGCAAATGTGGAGATATTGCCGAAGGATTAGCTAACATTGAACGCATACTCATAGCTCTACAAGATGCTGGTTTCTCCATTAACGCTGACAAATGCAGCTTTTTCAAGCGCTCAATTGAATATTTAGGTAACGTGGTGTCTAATGGACAAGTCCAGCCAAGTCCACGTAAAATAGATGCACTGGTAAAAGCACCAGTACTAACAACACCAAAATAAGTAAGGCAGTTCTGTGGATTAGCGGGGTACTTTAGGAAGTTCATTCCAGATTTCTCAAGAAAATTAATACCATTATACGAACTAACCAAACCAGGAGCTAAGTGGGAGTGGAATGAACGTCATGAGAACGCAAGAGAAGAGATTATCCAGTGTTTGACATCAGCTCCTACACTTACGCTTTTCCAAGAAGAGGCTCCAATTCAATTGTACACAGACGCCAGTAGTTTGGGCTTTGGAGCAGTACTGGTACAAATTGTCGCGGGACGGCAGCACGCCGTTGCCTTCATGAGCTTAAGAACCACTGAACCTGAAAGTCGATATCACTCTTACGAGTTGGAAACCTTGGCGGTGGTTCGAGCAATTAAACAATTCAGGCAATATCTTTATGGACGAAAGTTTACAATCATCACAGACCTCCAAAAACAAGAAGGATCTTCTCCCAAGGATCCACCGTTGGTGGGCATTTCTACAAAATTATAATTTCGATATTGAATATCGTAAAGGTCAACAACTTCAACACGCTGACTACTTCAGCAGAAACCCAGTAGAACTTACAGTAAACGTAATGACCAGGGATCTCAACTGGTTAAGAATTGAACAAAGACGTGATGAAACACTACGAAATATTATGGATAGTATGACCAGTGACATTCCCAGCAATGACTACATACTAGAAGACAATGTTCTCAAAAGAATAGTCCAGGATCCAATCTTTGGGCAAAAACATTGTACAGTGGTTCCTAAATCCTTTCAATGGAGCTTAATAAACTCATTCCATACTGCATTGAAACACTCTGGTTGGGAAAAGACATTACAGAAAATTAAGGACAGCTACTGGTTTAATAACATGAACACAAATATTCGGAAATTTGTAGATAACTGTGTGATCTGCAGAACATCAAAAGGAACATCCGGTGCAATACAAGCTCAGATGCACCCGATTCAGAAACCAACTACTGCATTTCAAGTAATGCACATGGATATAACTGGCAAGTTGGGAACATCCACCGACCAACAGTATGTAATTGTCACAGTAGATGCTTTTACAAAATATGTGCTCTTATATCACGCAACCAACAAGAATCCACATGGTACATTGGCTGCACTGAAGCGTGCAGTACACCTATTTGGCACTCCAATACAAATAATCGTTGACGGTGGGAGAGAGTTTCTGGGCGAATTTAAAATATATTGTGATCGTATAGGTATAGAGATTCATGCAATAGCACCAGGCGTCAGCCGAGCAAACGGGCAGGTGGAACGCGTGGTTGCTACAGTAAAAAATGCTTTAACCATGATCAAAAACTATGAAACTGAAGAATGGCACACAATGCTTGAAGAACTCCAGTTGGCATTAAACTGCACTCCTCATCGTGTGACGGGGGTAGCTCCACTCACTTTACTTACTCAACGCAAACATTGCGTGCCTCCTGAGTTACTCACACTGGTGAATATTGATGAACAGACAATTAATTATGAAGCTCTCACTAATCATGTTCATCAAAA